CCTGATATGGGCAGAAACACTTTCCACTAGACCAGATTGATCAAAGCTCTATCCAGCCTGGCCTAGAACACTGCCAGGGATGGGGCAGCCACAACTTCTCTGGGCAATTTGTTCCAGTGCCTCACCATCCTCAGTGGGAAGAATTTCTTCCTAATCTCTAATTTAAACCCACTTTCTTTCAGTTTAAACTCATTCCCCTTTGTCCTCTCACTATATGTCCCTGTGATAAGTCCCTCTCCAACTCTCCTGTAGGTTCCTTTTAGGTACTGAAAGGGGCTATAGGTCTCACCAGAGCCTTTTCTTCTCTTAGCCTGTTTTCATATGAGAGGTACTCCAGCCCTCTGATTTTCCTCATTGCTCTCCTCTGGACCCGACCCAACAGGTCCACGTCTTTCTTATGTTGGAGGCCCCCGGGCTGAATGCAGCACTACAGGTGGGGTCTCACCAGAGAGGAGTAGAGGGGCAGGATCACCTCCCTCGACCGGCTGGTCACGTTTCTCTTGGCGCAGACCAGGATACGGCTGGCTCTCAGGGCTGGCTCTCAGCGCACGACCCTCATGCTCGCAACATGTCCCCCTCAACAGCAGGGGTTTGGCACGGAGGGGCTCCACCACTGCTTGGAAGCACGTCCTGAGCCTAGTCCTGACACCAGCTACCAGGGCAAGAATCCCGCCGCTTTCTCCGTCTCCCCGCATCCCCGTACCCCTCCGGGCGGGGACAGACACCCCTCTGCAGGACGCGCGGCGAAGCGCCCGCATCCCTCCGTGCCCCCGCCCGCTGGGCACCACCCCCGCTCCGCCCCTCCCTCCCTCCCTCCCCATCCTTCCCTCCCCATCCTTCCCTCCCTCCCCGCGAGTGTCCCGAGTGCCCGAGGGCAGTCAGGAGCGGGATGGCTTCTCGCGTTCCTTCTGCCCGCGGCTTCGCGGGCGCTGCGGTTGGTGGTTCCGCGGGGGTTCCAGGGAACCGCGGTGGGGGCACAGCCCGACGAGGCTCAGTTTGTCCGTCAAGGCATC